TCCAGTCAGCCCTGTCGGTCCTCTTAGGGTAGAGGCTGTATGTCAGTGCACCTCACAAACTGACAAAACAGTTCTATCTTGCACCTGATACTGCTACCTCAACTAAACAAGTAAAGTGAGATTATGGGTTCTGCTTTACAGGTATAAGTGAAAATTATTAATTTTACTGAAGGCAAAGATGGCAAAGTTTTAAGGAGATGTAGTGGCTGAGACAGCTAAGAAAAGAAATAACCTTTTCAGTGTACAAGCCCCTTTTTTTTTTCCTGTTATGAAATGATCTAACAAAACTATTACATCTCTGTCCAGCTCATGTGCTGTCATCATGACTACAAGAACTTTTATAACTCTATTTTTGATAAAAAGTCAATAGAGTGTCTCTGAACATACCACTGAGTATTGTAACCGGGAGCCGAATCTTTTCTTTTGGCATAGGGTTGGGAAACAGTGATTTCTTTCTCCACAGTTTCTGAGAGAGAAAAGTGGTGGAAAAAGGGAAAAAAGCTGTTTTTCCCCTGACTTACTCCCAATATACTGATCTGATTCTCTTCCCTATTAGTGATAACCTCTTTCTATTGCAAAGGCTTATCTTCCAGTGATTATGTACAGTGTATTTCACATCGGTTACTGCCAGAACAGCTTAAAATGGCATATGACGGAGTGCATGACAAGAGAAATCTGACACAATCCCTCCATCACTGAAGGACTGAACATGGTCATGGTCAAAATTTTCACAGTCACCAGCTGTAAGTGCAATAATCCGAGAAATGTTTCGCAAACTACATTAATCCTGGTAGAAATGGCTGAATGAACCCTGCTTGGGTTTTCCTTTACAGAAGAGTTGAGAAGTGACAATAAGAGAGAGTCTGCTTTCGAGAAGAAATAATGCATAATTAGTGAAGATGAAAAAAAGAGGGATTTGCACATATTTTAAAATACCAGAATGTTGTAATATCACAAACAGAAATGACCCTTCCAAAGAAGTTACAAAGGAATGTTAAAACACATTGTTTATTGGAGTCTTAATCACTGTGCATATTAGAATAAAAGTTCCTTATTCCTAACAACTGAAATTGAGTTTGATTTGCTATTTGATTTGCTATTTGTTCTTATATTGAAAACCTATTTCTTAAATGGGTTCATTTATCATTCTTGCTTCTGCAGAAAAGGCTAGTGTACTGAAAAAAATCTCATTTCATAGCAATAGTCTTTACAGTTAATCCTTACTATTGGCCATCCACAATACGTAGTATTGCTTACAGGCAAGAAAATCCTTGAAAACAAATGCAACTTTATGGTATTTCTTCCAAATCACAACAAATGGGGAAAAAAAATACTTCACGGTAATGAATCTCTCTCTAAATGTGCTCAACAGGAAGACTTCATCCTTCTTGAATGAAAACAATGTAAGATTTGTTTTTTTATTTTGACTCCTAAAATGGGGTATTGCTAGGACCAGTAGACTATGACTTACATTTTCCTTTTAGGAAAGAAATGGAAGCCCATTATTGAATTTCACTGATATATGTGCATTTCACAAAAAAAAAAAAGGCTTTTTCAAGTCCACCCCTCCATTCCTATCTTGGTGACTATAGTTGAATCTAACTTAGTATTTACATAGTGGGCCAAGTCCTGTTTCTGATACTTAATTTTTTCCCAGGTGGATAACAATATACAGATTAGCTTCATCAAAATAAATCTCTACCTATAGTTATTCTAACAGAAGAAACAATTTTTTTCTATTACAATTAATCTTTGATTAAACATTTATACCAGTCTTACCCAGATAAGTATTAAAATCATATTATTTTCCTCTTTTTCTTATTCTAAGCTGCCTTTCAACTATACTATATAGTTTCCCCTTCACATTTCTCTCAGCTTTTATTTAAAGAATTCGAATTATGGTTTTCCCCCCACAAAGTTACATTATATTGACATTTAATTCAAGAAAATTGACATTCCCTTATTACCGTGATGTAACAAAATGCAGCCCCTCGATAGCAAGCACTTTAACGTTGTGTCTCTCAGAAGTTTGTCATAGCAACATTGGATGTTATTTAATAGTATTACTTCATTGCAGGGCAACTATACTTTGAAGAACTGGCACAAATAGCTATGAGTTGGTAGTGGTGCCACTCCAATGTTGAGTTGATCACAGTAAAAGATGGTGGGGATGGCGTGAGGGCAGCTCTTCAGAACAGAATTTTCCATCACCATGATGACTTTACAAAAGCCAGTCATTCCTAGAACCTAAGCAGATGAACGCAAACAATTTGCAGTGCCCCTCCTCTTGTTCTTGCAGCCTTCCCGCCTCAAAAAAAAATAATGTTTTTTTGAGGGTCTTACCAGTTTCTCAGCTCTTTCAGCATGTTCTACACCCCACTTTCTGACTATATAAGGAAAGAAGCAGCTTAAACTCAGCGAGAAACATGGAAGCTGGTCACTGTACTTTTTCACAGTGTTTCTGAATCCTGTATTGTTTGTCATGTTCAATAAAGGCTACAGCATTTCTTTCTTCTATGACTTCAAGCATCTTCAAAGAGAGACACAACCACCTTCTTGCAACTAGCAAGTCTGTCTTTTTCCCTTCCTTTACAACATGATGTTATAGAAAAAGGTGTTAGGGTCTTTTTCCTAGCTTACATTCCACCATTCCTTTTTCACCTTACATCAAAGTGCCTAAAGGAAGAATGTGATACACGTAGCACAGACTTCTGTAGGAATTTTAAAATTTTACTAATACTTCACTTTAAAAGAAAAAAAAAACCCAACCACAACACCATACATCCCAAAAAGCCCAAAACTCACCCACCAACCATACCACAAGCAACACTGAACACTATTTTGTTACTAAAGGCCAAAAATAAGTCAGACCAAATACCGATTAAATCTTTACTAATGATAGTATAAAAAATAGTTCATTCTGTACACTGAAGAGAAAGGACAAATATGACACAAAAGCAGTAAAGTAAGATACATAACAAGTCAATTTAAAGATTCCTGAAACTATGTTTTCAGAATTGTGTTCCTTTCTGTTGTCATGTGCCATGTATCCATCGTCTCCACCAAAACTGTAAGCTTCCTGAAGCAGACGCTTGATATACTTTGGAGTTATGCACAACCATGTGTGCTGGATTCGGCTGGGACAGAGTTAATTTTCTTCATAGTAGCTAGTATGGGGGTATGTTCTGGATTTGTGCTGGAAATAGCGTTGATAAATCAGGGGTGTTTTAGCTGTCGCTGAGCAAGACTTACACAGAGTCAAGGCCTTTGAATTCTCTCCCCCATCCAACCGCAGGGGAGTAAGTGAGCAGCTGGGTGGTGCTTAGCTGCCAGCTGGGGTTAAACCACAACACCATGACAACGATTAACCTATAATGAAAAACGTTGGCTACATTCGTGTTTGCTGTTAGTTTATCCAGTGACGGACAAAGGTCAGGTAGGTTTAGTGATAGTACATCAGAAAGTTACACACATAATTTACAGAAATGATATCATCCAGCCAAATACTTGTTATTTTCTATGACCTCTGATGCACTTCAGTCATACCCAGTAGAATAAACAATCTGATGTACTGCTTTGCAATGCTGAAGACCAAATGAAGCTATGTCACAATATCTTTCAAGAGCATGAATCATGACAGAGGTAGACTTGGTTAATAACATTAACACTTTGCCAGATCTAGCAGGTAACTAAGCCGACAGACAGCAGCAAATATTGATAGGACTAGTCGCTTGAGAACTAGTAGATCTTTAAGCTACAGCAAAGCAGGTGAGAGTAACCTAAAACAGAGGTAGGAGTATCAACTCTGATTAAGGTTGCTCTTCTGCTTGGAAGACATCAGTAATCGTGATATACACTGGTTTCTTGTCTCTTCTATTCTGTCCTCAAACAGCAACATGCTTAGATAGGAATGAAAGTTGCACCTGGATATTTGAGGTTTGGATCTATGCACCCTGCTCGATCAAAGAGACCAAACTAATTAGTTTCTTCATGTAATTGGACAATTACTAGGACAATTACTTTGGACAAAAGCAAAGCTATTAACATGCATTCTTGTAAACTTACTCCCTGTAACTGGTACAGAAATACTTGATAGAAAACATGTACCATATACAGTCCAGGGTAGGACTGCTATATCTGAATCTTGTTTACATCAGTGTGACTGCCTATAGAGCCAATATCTTAAAGGTAAAACTTAACAGTATCACCTATTGCAAAGTCATTCAATACACATGCTCCTCCTAAACCTACAATATCTTACTTTTACTGTCATTTTTCTCTAACTATCCTAGTAAGTTCATCAGGATATTTAATCCTAGTGACTTCCATTAGAGAGACATCTCAAATTACAGCAACTCTGTAATGAACAACGTAGGCCATGGACATGTCCATTAAGCAATATTGTTTAAACTACTGACAAATATTTTGAAAATACACTTTTCCGCTCTCCTAAGGGTTTTGTTTTCTTCTTGCAGCTGAACTCAGACATTAGGAAGATCCCAAGCCTCTTGGAAAAACCAGTTTGTTCGTAGTATCTCAGTCAGTAAAGCCAGCATGCTGTCCTATTCAACTGTTGGTACTGCAGAAACATATATAAAAAGGTTACGAATAGGATTATCCTTATATTGTCCTCAAAGACATTTATCTGCCTAAGTATTTTTGAATGCATGCATATCAGCTTTTTAACATAAAGTAAAATGAGTAAACTGCACAAACGGGTGTGCAAGTGCTATAGGTAGAGGATTAAATAAATATCACTATACATGTAGAACAGTAATAGTCACTAGCACCTGCTTAACATGAAGTAGCATAAGTTCATTTATTAAAATTAAAACACGGGAAGCTTCTATAGCCATACACTTGCAGTAACTTTCAAGTCATCAAAATAGCACTGCACCCCCCAGATTGTTTTAGCTGATTACGACTTGTTTAGTAACACTTTTACCAAAAGGAAAATGGAATGAGTAAGTTATCCCCATCACTGTAAAAACAGGACTTACCTGCTTGCTGATAGTGTTTTTCTGCCAACAGTTGGTGGAGATGGTTCACTGTGGAAAAAGCTTTTTATCCACCAACATTTATCAATTAACTCAGGTAACCCTGCCAAAGGAGAAAAAGCCGACACCATTAGACACTGGCTGAATGACAAACAGGCAAAACTAGGAGACTGTTTGAAAGAAGGGAACAATACCATGAAAACTTTTGTCCTGGTCTGTAATGTTCACAGCATCCAAACAGCAGGAGGAGCTGGAAGAAACACTGGATTCCGAGTTCTGTCTTGCTGTTTGTGGAAAACAGAGACAGACATAATGAAAAAAAAATGCTTCCAGAGAGTACACTATTTCTATGCCAAGAATTTTTCAGACCAGCTGCTGTCTTGGAGGAAACAATCTAACAGATAAGTTTACTTAGCTACAAAGTATTAATGCTATATTATGTACACTCTACTACCATTGTTTAGATAAAAACTTGTATACAACTTGATCTCTCAGTCTACTTACTCCTCACTTAAAAACATACCGGGATCTGTTTGCATAACTTTCACTGAAAATAGAGACAAGTCTTATGACCGCATACACATTGCTATCAAAACAAATGAGTCTGTTCTTGACTATTCAAGTCCAAAATAACCTAGCTGCTATGCTTTCCATTGTGATGCAACTAAATACTATACTCACACTACGGTGTCCATCCTGTACAGAGGGATCCTAATACACCGCACGTACTCTCTAACCAGTGACTATTTCAGGTATTTAGAAACAAAAACATGAGTTGATTTTGTGTTCTGTCTAAGCCTGCAAGTAGAGCTAGAAGCCAGGACTTGCTGGGCTAACACTTTTTCTATGTCACGTTTTATAAATAAAAAAATTGCATATCCCTAATGAACAATTCTAAATAGGAAAAGAAAAAAAAGAGATTAATAACCAGAAGCAGATGCTCATCAAAACTGAAGTTCCTTGATACAATGAAACACTATTCAAGCAACTAAAAACTACCAGACACCCTTTTGCCTGCAGCTCACCCAGGCACCACCCCAAACACTTTCTGACTTTTCCCGAGCGCCAACAACCCAGACACCTCCTCGGGAGAGGCCCGGGGGGCTCAGCCGCCCCGCTCCCCAGGAGCCCCCCGGCCGGCAGCCCCCGGAGCACTTACTTCGGTAGTACTGGTTCTTGGCCAGGAGGCAGCCGGCGGAGGGCACCGAGGCCATGGCAGCGGCGCGGCGGGGAAACGGCCTCTCTCCGGGGGGAGCCT